CGCAGGAACAGTACCTCTTCCCGAAGGGAGGTGATGGCACTTGCTCAGCACTACGGGACTGAACTATACGAAGGCACTTGTTTGCTTTGCATAGTTGAGATATCTCATCGCTGAGAAACAAGATTCCCTCCAAGGTGTTGAGGAGGAGGTGGCATAGACCCGCGAGATCACCACCCGTAGCGGCACACGTTGGGAGGAAACCGGTTCGGAAGCTGCACTGCTCACGGTAGCAAGCTACGGAATCTTCTACGCTAGACTTAGCATCAGCAGGGCTTGGATAACACAAATTGCAGCAAAAAAAGCGTGATACAGGCTTAAGACGTTGCACCTCTTCATCACGCCAAATTATACACTTCGCGTTAACAAGCTTAGAGCAACAGTCCCAACGAAATAAACTTCTGCTTACCGAAAAAGGAGCAGGAGCACAGCAAGCTTGCATTCCGGCAGGGAGCAATACTACTACTATTACTACTACTAATTATAATAGTAATATTCTTAATATTATTATTACCAATAATAAAGTTCAATTATGACAATATTAGAGTAAATAAGTATATTATAGTCATGAATATGACAGTAAAAAAATTTTCTTATAATAATAAAGTGCAGATCAACACTGCCTCATCCTAAAAGAAACACCCTTTCATCCACCCATAAACTCAGAAAAAAGGTCGCACTGTCCCTTTGAGGACGATCCATTGTATTTATCTTCTTACCCTTCAAAAGATTGAGTACTATCCTTCATACCTGTCCTATGCTGGTGACATGCGAATCAACTGAGTTGCAGTTTTTTTCAGAGACTTAGTTTTAGGAGGAATGAGGAGAGTCACCACTGGGGTGAATCCTCAATCGTCCACATCTTTGGCTGATTGATGGCGGGCGATGTGGAAGTTGCGCTACCCCTGACGAGCAAAAAGTATTACAACCCCACTACCCATAGGCGCTCGAATTATTTCGAAAGTACGCTACAAGTAGGTAAGTAGCCCACTGTTAGGAATGGTAGTGTTGTAACGGGGTTTGTTTGCAGAGCAGAACGCAGAAGGTGAAGCAGTCAGCAGCGTCCGGCCAAGCGCAGCAAGCATGAGCTTATGCTGATGACGATGCCCCTGAGGCGCCGAGAAACGCCGCTGAGGCCCCTCTTCTTCACTACAATCGCCCTCCGCAGAAAAAGGCGCCATCTTGGTGGATTAGGGAGAAGAAACGAGTTATGGGTCATAGTATGGCTAGAGGCGAGAGACGAGGACAGTGTCGCGGCCACGGTAGCAAAGGTCTGTGGTTGGGCTGATGGGTTACACACTATAGTTCACAAGTGACGTTTGATCTACAACGCGGTATGGCCCGAGGTATTTGGGAAGAAGTTTTGCGGAGCGGCCAGGTGCGGTAGCAGGTGCCCGAAGCCATACCAATGAACCAGGTGGAAAGTTTGGAGTCGAACGGTCCAGGCTGGCGGGATTGCTCCTGCCACTGGTCCTCGGTAGAAAAAGAGTGGGCAAGCTGGCGGCATTCTTCAGCATGTCGGACAGCTTCAGAAACAGTTGTACTTTCGAACTCATCAGGTTTACATAGAAAAATAGTGTCTACCGTATTGGAAGGTTTTCATCTGTATAGAAGAAAGTAATGCGAAACCCAGTAGTAGCTTGTACGGCAGTATTATACGCATAGGTGACGAACGGCAGATCTTGCTCCCAATTTGAATGATCAGAGGTGACGTACATCGATAGCATATTGCCAAGAGTACGATTGAAGCGCTCCGTCATGCCATTCGTTTGAGGGTGGTACGCTGTACTTGTGCGGTGCACAATTTGGCATTCGCTAAGCATTGCCTTCAAGGCGTCAGAAAGGAAGGCACGGCCTCTGTCACTTAAGAGCTCGCGAGGGGCACAATGACGCAAAATGAAACGTTGCAACAGAAACGTTTCAATGTCACAGGCTGTGGCAGTCGGCAGCGCGGCTGTTTCGGCATTGCGTGTCGGATGGTCAATCGCAACAATATTCTAGCGATTACCACCTAGAGTTGAAGGTAGTGGTCCGTAAATGTCAATTCCGACGCGATCAAAAGGTCGACTAGGATAAGGAAGAGGTTGTGTTGGGTAGACTTGTTCAGCAGGTAACTTTCGTCGTTGGCACTGAGCACACGAGCGAATGAATTTCCGCACGTAGTTATACATGCCACGCCAATAAAATCTGAGTCGTAGCCAAGCGTATGTCTTGAAGAGGACCTGCTTGGGCGCATTGTGGGTCAGCGTGAAAAGCTTCGCAGATAACAGCTCGAAGATGACGGGGTATCACAAGGAGACACTTGCGACCATCGGAAAGGTAGTTGCGTCGATAAAGAAGATCATCCCTTAGGCAAAAGTTGCTAGCCAGGCGGCGGAGAGCGCAAGAGGGAGAAGGATTAAGATAATCAGAAAGAATGCTTATGAGGCCACTGATTTAAGGATCCTTTCGTTGTTCCACCGTCATGTTGTGCAAGGCGGTTGACGCAATTGCAGGCTCTAGAGAAGAGAGGCAAACACCTTCATCCGATATGGGTGAGCGATATGGGCGTCGGCGTCCGTGTGCTTATGACCGGATCTGTAAATAACGCGGATGTCGTACTCTTGAAGTATAAGCGCCCAGCGAGCAAGTCGGCCGGAAGTGTCTTTAAGTGCGGATAGCCAACAAAGTGCGTGGTGGTGAGTGACGACGTCGAATGCGTGACCATACAGGTAGGGGCGAAATTTTCAAAGAGCCGAAATAATACCTAAACACTCTCTCCCGGTCATGGAGTAGTTAGCCTCATCTTTCGTCAGAGTTCGGCTGGCGTAGGCGACGACATATTCATCAAACCCTGCCTTTTGTTGCGCGAGAACAACTTCAAGTCCAACATTGCTGGCATCAGAATGAACCTCCGTGGTAGCGGCAGATTATAGTGGCGAAAGATGGGTGGTGAAGTTAGCAGGCAGCGCCATTTGGTGAACGCATCGTCGCATGCTGGTGACCAGGTGGAAAGGTCCTTGTCACCGCTAGGAAGGTCCGTAAGGGGCGCACATATGGAAGCACAATTTTGAATAAAGCGTCGGAAGTATAACTACAAGCTGAAAAAACTTCTAAGTTCCTTTAGGTTCTTTGGCTTCGGCAAATCGGCGAATGCTCGAAGCTTGTTTGGCTCGGGAAGTATGCCGTGCCACGATACGACGTGGCCAAGCTTGATGAGTTGCCGGGCACCAAAAGGACACTTCTTGAGGTTGAGTTGAAGGCCGGCATCTGTGAGGCGTGTGAGGACGTGCTAGAGACGATTTAAATTGGTGTCGAAATCAATGAAAAAGACAGCAACAGTCATCGAGGTAGCATAAATAAGTGTTCCACTAAAGGCCTCGTAAAATAGTGTCCATCATTCTTTTAAAAGTGGCTGGAGCATTACAATTACCGAAAGGCATAACGGTAAGTTTTTCCAATCCATCAGGTGTGGCAAATGTTGTTTTCGCTCAGTCAAATGCTTCCACAGGACTTTGCCAGTATCCAGACCGTAAATCAAGCGAAGAGAAGTGTTCTGCTTCCTGCAAACAGTCAAGGACGTCGTCTATTCGCGGTAACAGGTAAACGTCATTACGGGTGATCTTGTTTAGGCATCGGTCATCGACACAGAACTGAGTGGAGCCATCCTTTTTAACGAGAACGACGGGTGACGCCCAGTGACTGTTAGAAGGGTTTCGTAGAGGGCTAGGCAGAAGAGTCACAAACAGCGGACAAATCAGCCTTAATTTATGGAAGCGATAAAAAACTATAGACGTCCTATACAAGTTAGGCGCAGCTCTATTTTCGCTGAAAATATCTCTTAGAGACGAGGGAAAGAATTACTTTTATAAAAATTATGCATCACTTTAAAAATCAACATTGTCGCCAGCAGTCAGCAAGGTGTTTTTGAGGTAGAGAATTCATTACCCAACAAACGTAAGCTCTACCATTGGCGCACTAAAGAGCCTACTTCAGAGCTATTCCTCTTTCTAGCGTGTTTAAGCAGACCAATACGTTTGTCCTTGGAATCTACCCAGCGACCGTTCCTGATTCATGGGTTTTCACAAATATTTTTTCATACGTAGCATTCATGTTTCACCTGTCATGACATGACTAGCAGTTCATCAGTGCATCTTAGCCAAGGACTGTAACATGCATTCCAGAACAACTAAACAAAATTATTCTGATTGTTTAGAAAAGTAGTGATAGTGGCTTTTCAATCGATCACAAGGAATGCACAACATCCCTTGTCCTAAGTCATGAATATTAGGAATGTACCTGCTAAAAAACTTACAGGGATGGTGTCTAGAGGTTTATGCCATTCCCATCTTGATAGCTTGCAAGTAATGTCATTTTTAAATTCTTGTATTGTACTGTACCATGAAATAATGACGTTCTACTCTTTGATATCTTGGTAGGCAATTTTGTCCATGCAGGCTGGGTATTATAGTCTCTAAAATGCCAGTGAAGCGACTACGATGGCTTCAAGATGTGGGCATTTGGCAAGTTTTATCATTGATATCATGGTGAAAACGAACTCATGACACCAACAGCCACGTTGTTTACTGCAAAATATTTAACTTATTCAGCATTGTAACTGTCGATAATTTCGAAAATTGTCGGGGGTACAAAACTTATTACCTTCAGATCGTAAGAAATACACTCTTTACGAATGCGGTATATGTATACCTGTGTGCACTTTTACCTCAAGGATAAGCTCATTGGTGCCCATGAGAAGGGAAGCTACCAGGTGTCATCAATGCTAGCGCACTTTACGGTTTCGTGATATTGAAGCATTTTTTTTCAAATATTAGTCGAAGGCAGTTCACCGTCGCGGCATCCACTTCCGTGTTCCCAAAGGCGTTCATTGTGAAATAATCAAAAAACTCCGAACATTACCGGCAATGTTCCATCCTTGTCACTTGATAAACGCCCATGACTCTTTTACATAGAAGCTTCCAAAGAACCGTTTTACCTTTTCGGGAATCTTCAATTCGTCGCACACCTTGCGTACTTTATCCGCATTCGGCGGGTCGGTCACAATATACGTTGCATCTCCATCGGTCATCTGGTACAGCAGCTCTCCTGCGAACGAAAGAATTTTCAGTTGCCGTTACAGAATAAGTAGTACATTGAACTTAATTGATTGCGCTTTAGTGATGGATTAACCCGCAGTGTACAATTCTTAAAGAACCGAGGTATTCACTACAATGGAGACGCGCCACACTTGCTATCCGGAAGAAAACCAAAAAAATTATTAGAGTAAGTGCTACACCCACCATGTATATTGGGCATGGTTTAGGTAACCTTTTCCCAACAACTGTAAGAAGTACAGTAATTACTTTACTATCATTGTGATTAGGCGGCATTCCTCTGCTTAGGGTAGCAGACTTATAGCACTAAAAATTGTAATGTTGAAGTTTTTGTAAACTTTACCTTCAGGTACCTCATTATTAATCTGTAAAAGGTATATTTCGGGTTGAAAAAGAGAACTTTCACACAGAACCACTCTGCATTAGCATATTTTGTATTTTGTTATAGAAATACTCGCCGAAGTCAATGTTTCTGGATACAGTAGTATCTAATAAAAAAAACAAAAGCAAACTTAAGAATAGCAAACTTAAAAATGGCAAACTTAAAGTAAAAGTGTACATTATTTATAAAGTATAACAAGACAACAGCATAATGGGCACCAACGTCCAATAAGCACCAGCCAAGAAATCATCAATAATTTTTCTCTGTGAAAAACGTCTTACTTGACGAGCTATTTTTGTAGCCTGCTGTGCAGCCCTATCAGGAAAATACTGTTGATGCAGGTAAAAGATGCAGGCGCCCTGCATTGTGCAATGCCTTGGCTAAATTTTGAAAGAGCTCAGGACATCCACGTCGTATGTACTCCGATCATTAAAAGTGAGCACAGCATCAAAAGTTCACAATATTAGTGTTTGGTGCCCAAGGAAAACGGTTTTTGTTATTGAAGCGCGCTCCTACACAACAATCAAATGACTCGTTAGGGTTTTCAGTGTTTCCTTGGGGAAATTTACCTGGTAATTCTAGATAAGGTAGTTCCACGTAATATGGCTCCTAACAGCCCAATAACATATGCTGGAAGGTGTTTTTGTGAACGAATGGATGAACGTGCCACAAGGCTTTGTGGAATTTACATCAAAGTTCGACATGCCTCGTGCGAAGGTCGTGGGATGTACTTGTATCTTGTGATGCCAAGTGAAATAATAATTATCAGAGAGCTTCTCGCCTGCCCTCCAAGCTGGCTCAATTCTTATAATGTCAAGACAATGATACTTTTGGTGCTTGCAAATGATGGCTTCATGAAGACGTCCCGGCCAGATATAGATTTTCTGACAAAAAGCTTGATGCATCTGCTTAGTACTTCCCCAATTCTGAGCTTAGTCTTTTCTGAATGTGCGAAGTGCACTCTAGCTCGCGAACAAAAACTTCTTCATATAGCTATGATGGTTCAAATGCAGGAATTTTTAGGTCTACGTAAGAATGGGGGCATGGGAGGCCACTACACACGTTTTATATTCTATATTTCCCGCGAAAAAAATAGCACCTGAGAAAAACAAATGACCTATGCTGGTTGAAAAAAGGTTGCAGATATCAAATGACAAAAAACAAGCTTCTTTTACAATTTATGCCTTCTTTGTACTCTTAAGGGTGTCCTTGCGAATCAATATCTAACTTTAAACAACTAAATACCGATATTGCTAAAGTAAACAATACATCAGAGAAATACAGTGCTGTAATGCAAAAGAAGTACAACTGTTAGTGCAGATGACGGCTATATCTAATCAGTGAAATAGAAACTCTAGGACAGTAGTTTTCCGCCACCTATGTCTCGGGGACCCCTTGTATACCGGTGTAAATCTTAGGGACCTCTTCAGTTGGGTTAGTTTCTCGTGAGTTAGAGGTGTAACTCACGGTAAACTAACCTAAGATACAGTTCGAAATAGGTGTCATTTATTTAAGGTTGTATAAGAATGTATACGGATATTAGGCATATATAAGGATGGTCAAACAGAAGTGCCACGTTAAATCTTTCTCAACAGCGTGCCACCGAGTTGTGAGGTGTGCAGTCCACGTATAACCCATTTTTAGTAATGTTTGAATTTCAAATATTCAGGGTTCGAGAAATCGTAGTCAGCGCAAATGTCGAAGAAAATTGCAACAAAAGTTTTACAACCATCTCATGGACGATCAATGTAAGGTTGTCTAGGAATACTTCAGCACAGAAATTTTGGTTTGTCTGTCTGTCAGTTTATCCTCATGTCCAATGTTTGAGCCAGCCGGCAAAAGTTTAACGCCTTGCTCAACGCCCTGTCATCTTGGTCCGCTGAGTGCATTCATACTTATGAACAATGTCATTAAAAAGTCCGTTTAAGCACAAAGTCATATCAATGATTGTGACAGAAACATAGGGGGCACTTATACGAAGTAAGGCTAAGCGAATGAGGGAGCATGCGGAGTGTAGTAAACATGGTCAATCGCGATTGAATTGAAAGCAATGCAGTAACCCCGAAATCTAAACAGGTTTTGCGAATTGTTGACTGCGTGAAGTCCAACTGGTGCATACAGATAGGTCATTGTTAGTGAGATGGTCGGTGTGAGATGCGTCGCCTGGTTGATTACTGCTGTATGCTGAGGAGGGCGAGGTGTCGTTGGCTTGAAACTTTCTCCAGATGTATTTTTCACTGTGCGTTTGAAAGAAAATTGGGTGAAAAAATAACCAGCGTGAGCAGGAGCCTGCTCGCGGCTGGTTATTTCTTCACCCACTTTTCTGTCTTCTTATTTACATTCCATTTTTTCTAATAACTTCCCCTATACATTCCTTGGCATTATTGTCTGTTAGGTCTCAAATATATATATATATATATATATATATATATATATATATATATGTAGTTGCAGCAAGGAAGTAACGCTGGGCCCGGTAGAATAAGGGTAAAAATAGAGTACGACGCACGTCGGTTAGGCACGGTATATTCTGACCGACGCTTCGGCTGGTAGACCAGCCGAAACGTCGGTCAGAGTATACCGTGCAAAACCAACGTGCGTCGTACTCTATTTTCCCTGATATATATTCACACACAAATATATATATATATATATATATTATATATATATATATATATATATATATATATATATATATATATATATATATTATATATATATATATATATATAATCGCAACGAGGAGGTCACGTACAAACACTGGTTATTCTTCAAGAAGCGTTAGCCGCAACAAGCTGATACAGGCAGTAACCCGGCAAGCACGAACCACACATGGATGTCAACGTCTTTTTTCACGCTGGCACAAAGTTGGCGCCACTATGATCCGGTACAGTTACTCCCCGCACAGAAAGGAGCGAACCTGGCGACACGAGGTAATCACAGGACAGTGGGGTCATAGCACGGTTTGAGGCATGATACGTGTACTGTTTCACGCCCATGGCAGCGTTGGTCCAAAAGTGAATCAATGGGCTTAACTTCATAGTTGACAGGAGATGTGTCTCGCACCACACGGTAGGGGCCATGACATTTTGATGAAAGCTTCGGGGAAAGACCGGGAGGGGTAGAGGGGACTCAGAGCCGAACCTACATTCCTGGGTTATAGTGGACACTAGACGCAGAGGCATCGTGGTCAGTTTACTGGCGCCATTTATCTTCCGCGGTAAATGAGCGAGCAAGTTGACGACACTCTTCGACATAAGCAGCTGCTTCGGAAACAGGCGTTGCTTCGGAAACATCATTTCTGTAAGAGAGAATGGTGTCCATGGAGCATGATCGCTCACGTCCGTACAGGAGGAAGAAAGGACGAAAGCTGGTGGTTGTTTGTGGCGCAGCGTTTTAGGCGTACGTGACAAAAGAGAGCACTTGGTTCCAATTAGTGTGGTCGTCAGATGCCTACATGGTAAGCATATCTCTAAGGGCACAAGTATAGCGTTCTGTCATGCCATTGGTTTGAGGATGATATGCCGAGGATTTCCGATGGACAGTGCGACAGTCCTTGAGTAGCTCGTCGACGGCGTTCGAGAGAAACACGCGTCCGCGGGGACTCAGTAATTCACAAGGTGCACCATGTCACAAAATCAGGTGGTGAAGAAGAAAGGACGAAACGTCTTTTTCAGTGGTAGTAGGCAGCGCAGAGTTTCAGCGTAGCGTGTCAAATGATCGACAGTGACAATAATCCACTAGGTTGCCTCAAAGAGTGCTGGTAGAGGACCATATTTGTCAATTACGTACGCGGTGGAATGCTTTCGCTGGGCAGGTTAAGGGTTGCAAAGGGCCAGCAGTGCTGTAAGAAGGCGTCTTGCGGCGTTGACATGTGGTGCATGACCCAACGTACTGGCGAACGTGCCGATACATGCCGCGCCAGTAGTATATTAGACGAAGGTGACAGTAAGTCTTGAATACTCAGCGTGGCCACAGTGGGGGTCATCGTGACAAGCAGCGCAGATGTCCAAGCGCGCATGACGAGGGATTACAAGGAGCCACCTACGACCATTCTTCACGTAATTGCGGTGACACAACAAGCCTTTACGGAACAGCAAAGTGCCTTGCTTGACGAGGGTGGTAGCATAAAGTCGTTTCTGACGAACTGTGAGAGAGGACGTAGAGCAAAGAATTCATCCAGGCATCCTTGCGCTGTTCGAATGGCATGTCACTCATGCTCAACGATGACGAATTGCAGATGGCAGATGGTAAGCAGGCAAGCTCAGGAGGCAGTTGCGAACGGGATAGGCCATAGGCGCCTGAATGTCTGCGCCCTGAGCGATAAATAACATGGATGTCGTATTCCTGAAGTCCAACGAGCGAGGCGGCCAGGAGGGTCTTGCATGGACGCTAGCCAGCATAAGGCACGGTGATCTGTTACAACATCAAACTGGCGTCCGGAAATGTAAGTGCGAACTTTTTTGGTAGCCCAAATGATAGCCAAGCACTCCTTTTCAGTGACGAAATAGTTGGACTCTGCCTTCGTTAGGTTATGGCTGGCATAGGCGACAACGTACTCATCGCCGCCATCTTTGCGTTGAGCGACAATGGCACCGAGGCCGGCACCG